CTGCCAGCCAGGACAGACAATACTGGAGTAGATAGTGGGGGGAAGAGAGACATAGCAGAAGGCAGTTTTGTGTATACTCTTTAAGCACACGCAACCCCATTTTCCCTCACAATGATTGTCTGCCCCTTCCCCACTGTCGCACCTTGGGAGAAGAGAGAGCCAGCTCAGTAAGATGCCAGTTTTGCCCCAAGGCTGCTTCCAAGAAGTCCCTTTCGGACTGAAAAATAGCAATGCAGAATCAGTACTTGGGATCAAGGCATCCCCATTCACAGCCAAGCCTGAGCAGTTTGATTGCATTTGTTCATATTCCTGCTTTAAACCTCGAACCTTCCATCCTTGCTGACCTCCGTTCTAGACCCGGAGCACTCATGATCTCATATGAGGTCAGCATAGGCCTGACAATTCCCCTGCACTTTCCCAGCCAGCAGTGAAAACAAGACTTTCAAGACCAGGGACAATTCACCTACACGTCTCTGGCCAGCCACTTATAAATTAATGAGCCACAGCGTACACACACCTAGTTTCAACGATGCTGGGCCTTGGGGCAAGAACACGTCTTCACTTCTTGCATAAAACACCACAGAGATTCATCTAATTTTCATCATCTTTGGAACACGCCTCTAACTCCAGCTGTGAAATACCAAAAAGCACCAGCAGCTGGGTCAGACCCATTTGTGCATTACAATCCATTGTGTATTCACAACACTTTAGTTCTTCCTTTAATCTTTCACAAGAACACTCGCCGCAGATGAGCAAGCTACATCCACCCTCGAGACCTGCACGCTACCAGACCTCCATTGCCTCTACTGCTCAAAACACTTGTGCCTTGACAAAGCCTCCACAAAGATGGAGCCAGACTCTTTAGGAGTTTTCCTGTTTGTGTTTCCTTTTTTTCTGCTGAATCAAAAATAAATTCAACCACTTGGATGATTGCAAAACAGAACAGTCATAATTTCCCAAAATAACTGTATGATGGATGCATAATTAGTATGATAATCTACATTTTATTTTAGGGAATGCAGTGTCCATTTTGGAAGGATGTTAGCAGTCAAATCAGAAGAAAATGGTGTGATCCTTTTATAACACAGATTCAGAAAGTTTGTATATTTTAGCGGAGCTAAATCCAGTTTTACATTCTTAAAAGCCTTCATAATTTTCCCAGCACAGGACACTTCCTGTTCCAGCCTGAAAGAAGTATCATATCAATTCACAAGTTCTACAAAAAGCCAAGTTAAAAAAATGTCTTTCATCACTTGTAATAAAGGTTTAGTTTCAAACCATAAAAGAGCTTCAAGAAGAAAGAAAAAAACACAAACATTTCATCATTACAGCATCCCTCTCTGTATAGGATAAGCTGAAGGAACATTTCCAAAACCTTGTGTTTGGCAGGCAAGAGGAGAACAGTTTACAACTTTAAATCAACGTGTTTAAAGTGCTACATATAACCGTCCTAAATAGGACCTGCAATTATCCACTTTTCTTTTGACAAATGGCCAGCTTCTTTTGCTGTCAACAAGTCACCCGGAGTTCCCAAAGATGAACACCGGGATGTCCCAACATCTTGGGAAGATCTGCCATGTCCTACCAGAATATGGACCACTCTTTGGCTCTCTTCCTCGGTACCTCTGATTTCATGGCTATTACATAATTAACCTCATACAGATTAGCAGAAACCCAATTAAGGACAAACTACTTTGTCCAACATCATACATTTAGGTGATTTGCAAAGCTGTTGTAAGCACATTATAGTAGCTAGAGCAGAATTTATTCGATCGCTAATTTGGTGACTGCTGCACATTTTCTCGATAGTCACAGTTATCTAGCATGCTACAGAATGCAGCAGAAAAGTTTTGGCCATCACAAATTATGTTCTTTTTAAAAAATCCTTATTTTTACCCTTTACCTTCTAATAAAAAGGGTTTTCATATTTAATATCCTTCACACAAAGCTCTGCCTATGACAAAGCAGTAGAATTCTGCCTTTTCATTCATTTTTTATTTTGCTCAGAAAGTATGGGCAATATAGATTTAATCCCTTAAAATACAAATTGGTGCATTTGTGTCAAATATGACCTCAGTAATGTTCGATTTATAGGGGAGAAACGTTTCTTGAGAAAATGTTGTAAGTTTCCATAAAACAAGGATGGAGGAGTGTGGAAAAGGAAATTGACTGAACCTTTGCCAAATGATTTGATGCAAAATATATGGCTGTTTCTAAGCAAAACATAGATGAAAACATCCACCAGATAGATAAAACTACACATTTGAAGAGAGTTTATTGGCACCTGACCCTAAATATAATTTACCTATAGAAAGTACCTTTGTTTCACCTAAACTTACTTCTAAATATGTGTAGTTACGATTGCAATCTATCCACCTAATCACGCATTCATCCCTTCTACTGGGTCTTGAATTTTTTTGTTGTTGTTTAAGATTCATGTTCAAGACTTTCTCTGTGTTGTATGTTTGCATGTTTGTGTATATATGGTTTTTATGATACATTTTTAACATTTTGATCTTTGTAAAGTGACCAGATAGCTTCTGCAGAAATGGTGACTACAAACTGTGTAGGATTTTAAGTGTAATTTAAATGAGTATTAGTTGCTTTCACTCCCTAAGTTTAAGACTTGGTTGAAAATGTCTTTAGGGAAAGCTCACGCCAATAGTGAAGCTGAACCCCTAAACAAACCACTGAACAAAATATTATTTGATATCTCATAGCCCATCTGAACTAAAATACTTGGATTAAAATGTTTGTCAAATGGATCCTCCACATATTAAATGAAAAGAAGGCCCACTGACTCCAACAGATTTTACTTTCAAGTAAGACTACAATCTTATGGTGATCTACTTGGGAGTAAGTAGAAGGACATACTTCCAAGTACAATCAATTCACAAGTTTGCTTGGAATCAGGATCCGGTGTCATTAAAATCGCCGCACGACAGCTCCATCAAGGTCTTAATAAAGCTCAGAGCTAGTATCAAAAGCTCATTCTTCAACTTTACCAAGCTGAAGGTTACTCCATAAGTTATATAAAAGGGAATTCGGGAACCTAAAACACGAAGTTGCATTTCCACAGTATGCTCAATATTTTTCCTTGCATCACAAAGAAATTTGGTTTCTACACCAAATCCCACAAGTTCTGGAAAAGTTTGCAAGACATCTTAGCCTTCGGATTCCCATCACACTCTGTTTTTCTGTAGTCACACTCAAAAAAATAAAAACAGAAAAACAGAAAGCCACATGTCCACTAGAAAAACCAGATGACACCAAATGGAATACAAGTCGCTCTCCTAGTACCACATTCGCATCTTGAAAATTCTAAATGCAGCATCAAGCTTAGGTGTGCAAAAGTGGCAACCAATGAGTAAATATATAAAGTGTAAGAAACATGCCCTAAGCAAAACAAAACTGAACATCTGTCCCTTCTGGAATGAAATGGCTCTTTAACGGCATACTGAACATTACACATAAGATCAGCAAAGTCAGGAGCTGCGGGGAGGGGGGACAGAGAACAGTGTACAAAACTGGTGCGAGCAAACTGAAAAACACACTTTTCCTAAGCGATGCAAACCCCCCTCTCCACACACACACACACACACACACACACACACACACACAGAGGACAAAGCAATTCCATTGACTTGAAAGGGCCTACTCTGCAGTACACAGCTTGCCTGCTGCAGTCCGAAGGATTCAGAACTACAACAGTTGTTTGCGGCTGTTTTTTCAGAAAAGGGGGTGGATGGGGGAAGCCACCCCAAATTCTTCAGGCTGAAAGAGAACTCTTGCAGAAGCCCAACAAGGAACTCATCCCTGTACTGCGTCTCCGAAACATAAAATGTTATGATAAAAAAAAAAAAAAACCGGGGGGGGGGGGGACCTAAAAACGGGGCCTTGGAAGAGGACAGAGAGAAAAAGAGAAGGTCAGAGCAGCTTGGATGAGGTCGCGGGAAGGTCTGGTTCTGCATTTTATTTTCCGGCTGTGAGAACCGTTGCTTCTGCTTCGGGAGGCAGAGGAGCGGCGGCGGCGGCGGGGAGTGGGGGGGATGCTGAGAAAACTTCCCCGCAAAGTTTGCTCTTGCGAACGCTCCCGAGCTCCGGCGAGGCGCACATGACCCAGGCGTCCCTTGCCTGCCCCTCAGCAAAGGGAGCACGCGACCTCCCCCCGCGCTCCCCGCCACCGGGCGCGCGCGCCCCCGATCTGCCTTACCTGCTCTCGAGGGATGCACGGCAAGGAGGTCCTGCGATGGGATTTATTGCCGCAGCCCGCCATCTCGGCGGAGATCATGGAACTGGATCGCCTCCTCCTCTTAAACCCCGGCGCCTCTTCCTTGGCCGGCCGGCCGGGAGCAGCAGCGGCGGCGAAATCCGCTCCTTCCGCCCCTCCTCGGTCTGCCCCCTCCTCTCGTTTCCCGGCGGGGCGGCGGGGCCGCGAGGCGTGTCGTGCGCAGGCCGCCAAAAGGATGCCCAGCAGGCCGAGCAGATAAGCCAGGTAAGGTCTCCACGGCGCCCGGACGCCCTCCAGGGAGACGAGCGACGTGATCCTCAGGGCGCTAGTCAAGGCGATCATGAGGACGCCGTGGCGCAGCCGCAGCGCCAGCCATGTCCCGCCGGCCAGGCAGCCGAGCACCAGCCCCGTGGCGGCGAAGGAGAGCAGGCGGTCCTCTCCCAGCGCCAAGCCCAGCTGCGCCAGCGCTTCCCCCCCGCAGCAGGCGGCCAGGAGCAGCGCGGCCGTGCGCAGGCGGACGCCGGCGCGCAGCAAGTCCCAGCCCAGCCAGAAGTAGGCGGCCAGGAGGCAGCAGCAGAGCGCGGCCCCGGAGGCGGGGGGCCAGCTCGCACCTGGGGGGTGGCCCGCGCCGGGATCCTCCGCCGCCGCCGCCTCGTCCTCCTCCCCGGCGCTGCGCACCAGGCGGATCCCCAGCGCCAGGAGCAGCGCGAATGAGCCCGCGCCCAGCGCCCAGGAAAGTTTGCAGCACTTCCAGCCGCGGGGCAAAGCGCCGTCGCCGTCCGCGGGGCCTCCTGTCCGACGGCTGCTGCGGCTGCCGCTAGGGCAGCTGGTCTCCGCTTCGTCCGGCCCAGCCGAGGGACAGCAGCCGTTGCAGCCGGCCTCCAGTGCCCCCTCTCCCGCTGCAGCTCCGGGGCATTTCTCCTCGCCCGGGCTCCAGCTGCGCCTGCTTTCGACCCGGCTCGCCGAGTCGCTGCTCACAGCCATAGCGAGAGATTGTGCTTTTCCTTTCTGCCCCTTCCCACTTCCCCGGCGGGGGCGGGGGACTGGGGGGTCGTGGGGTGCGTAGCTATAACTCTCAAGAATGCGCCCCCTCTTCCCTCCCTCCCGCCCGGGAAAAAAGGATCCTGTTCTTGGCCACCTGCGCACAGTAGCAGTAATAGTAGTAGTCGCAGTAATGTCTCCTAAAACAACGTTCTTGTAGAGGAGGGAATCGGAAGAAAAAGAAGGGGGAATGTCAATCTTTTTCTCTGTTTAGGGAGAACAGAAATGGAGCCGCGCAGCTGCAAGGGCTGCGTGCACAAGAGGCGATGCCCTAAAGTGGAAATAATGGCTCTTTAGGAGGAGTTGCACGACATCAGGCAGGGACTGCACATTTGCCATAGAATCGTCGCAGAGTAAGTTGCAAGGGGCCCGTAAGGCCATCGGGTCCAGCCCGCCGCTCCGTGCACGAGTCCGAAGGGTTTCCGTCAGAGCGTTTGGAAATCCAAGTTTCGTCCTACTCTCCGGGTGAAACGCAGAAAGGAAAATGAAGTCACGCGCCGTAAGTATTGTAAAAGACGGGCCACATGTGGCTGTCTGTCCCGAGCGTGGCTTGGCTTGGATGGTGAGGCTATTAGGCCATGGGCGCCCCGGGCTTCCCCGCCTCTCGGCCCGGGGAGGAGGCGCAGGGGTGGCGGCGGGCCGGCGGCCGCCGGGAGCTCTTCCCGCTGTCGCCTTCTCCGCCGCCGCCGCCGCTTCGGTGCTGCCGCCGCGGCTCCGCGCGTCTCTCTTACTCCGCCTCGCTGATCGAGCGACCCTTCCCGGCGGTCTCCCAGCCAGAAGCCCCCGACCGCCGCCGCTCCCCATGGCTGGGGAGAGCGAGACGGCGGCTCATCGCCGTTCCGGAGCGGGGAGAAGCGGGGAAGAAGCGATCGGCCGCGAAGGCGCGCCGCCGGGAAAGTTGCTGGAAGTTTTGCCCGGCGCGGGAAGGCCGCCTCGGCTAGCGAGAGATAAACAACCCCGCTTTTCCCTTCCTCGCCCGCGCGCGCTCGACAGCCCTGATGCCTTTGCAAAAAGAAAGCGAGCGAAGGTACGCCTTCTGCAGGCGCCCGGAGCACGAAGGACCGGAGGAGGACTCGGCGGGCAGATCGGGCTGGGTTGGGAGTAGCACGTCTCGGAGGAGGGGGCAGGTTGAGCCGGGGGGGGGGCTCAGACAGAAGCCGTGGCTCCCCCCTCCTCGTGCAAGCATGCACCAGCTCTGGCAGGGGTCGGGGAGGGAAAGGGGAAGAGGTGAGCCGGCTGTGTTTGCTCTTCGCCCAGCTCAGCTCTGCACACCGGGTGGGTGGGGAGCGGCACTTTTACGGGAGCGCCGGAGAGAAGGCAGAATCTGAGAGCTAATGGATTTCCCCCGGTTGGCGCTCTTGCCACACGCAGCCTCCAGGCAAGAGGTGGTACTGGGTAGGAAGCAGGTCAGATTTAATTACCAGGCCGTCCTGCTTTCTCAGAAGATCCACCGAGTTCATTTCAGTTTCATGTATTCAGTTTCTATACCACCCAATAGCCAAAGCTCTCTGAGCAGTTTACAAAAATGAGAACCTTAAAAATACACTACAGAAAGGCAATCATGCAATGCACCGAGAGAGAGATCTAAACGTTATCTTGGTTTTGGATGGTCCACAGGAAAAAAGTTCGAGACCTGATTAAAAACCCAAGTGCAACAGGATGTATTGTACACCCAAGGAATTGTGCATAAGGTTTGGAGAGCTGTTGTATCAACCCTCTGCATGCTTGCTTGGAGAGCAAGCCCCGTTCAGCGGGCACATCCTACTTCTGAGCAGCTGTGCAAAGGTTGTATGTTATGAGAGCCCAATTTGCTTGGGGCACATATTGACCAGGCAGGGCAGAATTAAGCCATTGGAAAGGCCAGAAGGTAGTCTCATTTATGAGAGGTGGATTTTAGAATCAGTCAGATACATTTTGCAAAGTTTGGCATGGAGATTTCAGTTTCCCACATCTGCATAGCAACCTCAGCTGGTGTGAGGTGGCAGTTAGTGTTGGACTGGGGACCTGGGAGATCTGGGCTCTAGTCCCCACTTAGCCATGAAGCTCACTCAGTAACTTTGGGTAAGTGTCAGACTCTCAGCCTAGCCTACCTCACAGAGTTGTTGTTGCAAGGGATAAAAATGGAGTGGAGAGCTATGTAAACTGCCTTGTTTCCTCCCTTACAGAGGTGGAATGTACATATTTCTTTACATTCTTTCTGTATGCAAACATTTTGTGCTCTTAAAGGTACAACTACCATCTTCTGGCCATGTTGGGAAAAGCCTTCCTCAATCTGATGTCCCTCAAATGTACAATTTCCATGCTGGCTGGGAGAAGTTGAAGTCCTGCCTTAGATGATTCTTAAGGCACAATCAAAGGCTGTCTGGGGCATCCTGGACATTTTTCTCCCTTGTTCGATGGTGATCAGTGACTAGAAAACTGCAGTTCCATCCAAAACCCATCTGAGCCTCAAGAAGCCACCCTGTACCAGCCTATCTGACCCAGTGTTGTCGACAGGGGCTGGCAGCAGTGCAGAATTTCAGGCAAGATTCTTCCTAGTCCTGCTTGCCCTGGGGTCAAATTTGTGAGCTGCATGTCAAAACAAGGGCTCATTTAGAGTTACAGTCTCTGTACCCTGGGAATTGCTAATTTTCTTTGTCTTTTTTTCCCTCCCATCCTTCAAAGGTAGAGGTAGAGGGGACTCCAGAGTGGGACAGAAAATTGGCAGTAAGGGTGGGAGGTTCAGTGAAGTTGTCTCTTGTATAGTTTCTCTAAATGTCACTTTGAATCTTTGTTGTTCCCAATTACTTGTTTGTTGCAGTTGATCAAACAAGAGAAGTGGACACTCAGTTTTGCCATTCTTAGTGGGCACTATGCCCGGATTCCCCACCATTAGCAACAAAATGAAAATGCTTGTTTTAAAGATACAGATTTTTAACATATACACTTTTTTAAATGCTCAGGAATGTGTAAGTCTTTCTCACCCAAAATGTGTTTGCATGGGGGTGCAAATCTGGTCCAAAGCACATTTTAAAAAATGAACATTCTTCCTTGACCTGCACACAGAGCTTAGATAGGATGGGTGGGTGGGTCCAACCAACCTGGTCACTTGGTTTTCAGTAGTACAGTATTACTAGTATAGTACCAGGGATGTGGGATTCTGTGTACTAGTGTTTCTCCACAGAGATGTGGGAGAATGTTTCTGTGGAAATGTTTCAACTTTTAGAAATGCATCGTTTCCAGACAATTAGTGACATAACAGATAAACACAGTGCAGATCAAAGGAGCAAGTAGAACTGATAACTATGCATTCGACTTTGCAATTCTGTTCAGTCTACTCAGAACTAAGCTCTACTCATTTCAGTGGGGCTTACTCCCAGGTAAATGTGAATAGGATTGCAGACCACATCTAAAATCAAACTTTTTTTTTTTTTTTTAAGGAGGCTAATCCTAGAAAGCCTGTGCATTATATATGCAGTGGCTCATGCTAAAATTAGTGTACTAACAGTTTTCATAACTCTTTTTTCCCACTCCAATTTAAATAATGTAAGGGAAATATCTTACTGAGATAGCTCACCTTAAAATATTTACCTGTATTCCAATAAGAATAATTTCTACTTAAAGCTTTTAATGTGAGTATAATAGCAGTGCAATCTTACACTTCTATTTCAGAAATTTTTTTATCCTGCTCTGCAGCCAAAAAAGCCTCTCAGAGCAGCTTACAAAGATTAATAGGATTGCCCTTGCTCTCAAGTGTCCAATCTAAAAGATGTAATACAAAAGGAAAGAGATTGGGACGGAGAAGGGGGGGGAAAGCAAAACACAGGGACCAGTTTTTCATCCAAAGTTTTTATAGGTGCTGTTTCTGGCAAGGTTAGGCAAAATAAACTCCCCGCAGCGGTTGCTTCTCTGGCTGATGTATGGAGCTAAGTTGGTCTACCCTGTGCAGTAATGATGATCTCAGGGGTCAGGGAAGTACAGTTTTCCAGGGCCTCTCTGGCCAATGCATGAGGCCAAAGGCTGCAGTCCCAGGGAATTTATGTTCTTTCCTTCTGGCTGGGGCTGGTGGAGTGACTTCTCCAAGTTGTATTGAGCCAACTTGGTCTTACTTTGTCTTGACACTTATTTGGAGAGCAGGAAGTATCCTTTCATGACCCACAGGGATGATCACCCATTTGTGGTGGGGGGGGTTGAGGATCAGTTTCAAAGGTGGGTTCCAGAAGAGGGCAGAGCTTGCATGGTGACAAAGAGCCCCACAGATACAAAACCATTTCCATGGTTTCCTTTACTCGGTTTCAGCCGCGTGCCTTTCCTTTGACTCCGTGCCCCCAGGACTACCCCACAGACGCCACACACACAGCAACTCGCCTGTGGCAGCCAGTCCACTAACCAGGGCTTTCTCAACTACTTTCCTTCACTTTTCACTGCACCTGTCAGTCTTACAGGTAACCCAGCAGCCGCGCCAGCTGAGTGGTGGGGATGCAGAACTCTTGCAAAGTGGGACAAGTGGCACTGCCAGAAGACGGTTTGACCTGAACGCCAGAACACCTGTGTGGGCCGCTTGTACACTGCATCTATCAGCTTGGAATGAACTAAACTTTGCATAACAGTTGCAGGGCCTTTTCTCTCCAAACCTTATAGGATTGTGTCCCTAGAGCTACAGACAGAGGAATTAGAATCTGCATCCTCTTTCTGGTATGCTTTGCCAATCAGAGGCCTCTGCTTTCGGTTTTGTTTTTCTTCTGGGACCCTGAACCCGTCCAGTTCATTCACTCACCCGCAGAGATGGCTGGGAGACAGATATTTGTAGACCAAGCATATCCACATCTCCTCCATCCCTGCCTGCTTAGATAGACCATTTTACGTATCCTGGTGCCTTCCAAAGATGTTCTTCCATCCTTGAAAAAGTGATTTCTGCAGCAATCAAATTTTCTGCAGGAACTGTGAAATTTGGAGGGGAGGTTCCCTGGAGAGGAGATATCCTTGCCTACAGTCTGCATGGTGTAATCTGTCACATGCTTTTCTAGGGGCTGTCAGTTTGCCGTCTTCGTTACAGAAATACTTTGTGTGACGTCCAGTGGAAGTCAAGACCCAGGCAAGTATGCATAATACTGCTGTCTGAGTATAAGGGTTTTTTTCCTGCACCAAAGGTTTCCATTCCAATACTTGAGTTAGGGGGAAACATTCTAGGGTATTTATTTGCCATACAAAATTAACCTGACATAATTTGTTTGGCTTTAAAACGAGGGTTTGTTAAATAGTTCAGACATGCTGCAGAATATCTGAAATGATTTAGGGCTGCCACAAAGAAATTCCTGAAACTTTTCCAGAAAATTCACACCATTAGTCTTCTCTTACTATGTACACTTCAGGTTTCGCAGTACCCCATGCTTTTTCTAGCCCTAAGAAACAGCATTGCCTTTGCTAAAACATAGGGCTGGGTACTGCAGACTACACCATAATCCTCTCTCCTTTTCCATCAGTAAAATTTCTAGTAGAACTGGAGATCATGCTGTCTTCTATCGTTGTCATATCATGTTTAAGCCCTGATTTTTTCCCTCTTGTGAGGAACCCAGAGTGGCTAAGAAGCTCCATTGTTATCCTCTCCACAACAACATTGCAAAGTAGGCTAAACAGATGTGATTGGCCCAGATTCTCTCAGGGCACTTCCTGTCTAGAACCTAGTGAGGACTAGAACCTAAATCTCCCAGGTCCCCACTCCCAACTCTTAACAGTTTGGTGCCATGCAGAGGTGGGTCATGACCTTTTTTCCCCTGCAGTGGAGGGCAGGACACCTTGCAATGGAGCAAAGTTCAGGGAACCAAGATTTAGGGTGAATGCCAGGAAGTACTTCCTAATGGTTAGGACCCCGAGGGTATGGAATTGACTTTCATGGGAAGTGATTGAAACCCCAGTGGCAAAGGTGTTCAAGGATAGGCTGGACATGCACATGATAGGCGTGTCATGAACAGAGCTGGCTGGAGCCAGGGGTTAGACTAGATGACCTGGGAGACCCCTTCAGACTCACTCTGTTTCTATGTTTCTATGCCGCACTGACTGTATATTGCTATGCAGATGTGGGAAATTGAACTCTCTGAGCTGAAATTGGCAAAAGGTATTGATTCTTGACACTTGAGAGCTCACTTGACACTTGAGAGCTCACTTGAGAGCTCACTATTGACACTTGAGAGCTCACTATCGGGCCTATGCTGTGGCGGTGAAGGCGGCGAAAAAGAAGTTTTTTTCTGCTTCCATTGCCTCCTCACAATGCCGTCCAGCGGAGCTTTTTCGAGTGGTGCAAGGCCTGGTTCGCCTGGGTCCTAAGGAAGATCCGATGCCACCCTCAAAGGCCCGCCGTGACG